CTAAATGCTTGGAGTGTGGAAAGAGCTTCAATCGCAGATCAGAGCTTTTGAGGCATCAAAGAATCCACACAGCAGGGAAAGCGTATATCTGCTCACCCTGTGGCAAGAGCTTCTCACATAAAGCAAACCTCATTCAGCACCAAAGAATTCATTCAGATGAGAAGCCACTGATCTGCTCAGGGAGTGGAAAGAGTTTCTCTGATGAAAATAAGAATAATGCACATTTCCTAAAACATAATAGAAAGAAGGCATATAAATGCGTTCAGTGTGGAAAGAACTTCAGTCACAATTCCAATCTTCACCGTCATCAAAGGATCCACACAGGAGAGAAACCTTTTGAATGCTCACGATGTGGAAAGAAATTCAGTCAGAGTGGCCATCTTCAGAAACATCTAAGAACCCACATGGTTGAGAGACCTTTTGAGTGCTCAGAGTGTGGAAACAGCTTCAAGTGGAATAGTGCCCTTCAGCGGCATCGAAGAACCCACACAGGCAAGAAACCTTTTGAGTGCTCAAAATGTGGAAAGAGCTTTCAGTGGAGCAGTGACCGTCGACGGCATCAAAGAACCCACATGAGGAGGAACAGCATCGCTGCTAGACCTCTGACAAGAGCTCCTTTCATATTTCATACATTAACTGCAACTGTATAGTCCACACAAAAACCATAAAAACTCTCAGAAAGAAATCTTCCTGTAGCCTTAGAAATGAACAAAAAAAATTGAACTGGGGAAGAAACGGTATAAATCAGGGGCTGCCAAACTTGCTTAACATAAGAGCCAGATTGAATAAATGTCAGATGTTTTGAGAGCCACAAGACATGAACAAATATGACACACACATTTTACCCACATGAAAAATATACAAATTGGCTTTTTATTAACATTAAATGAAACTGCCAAACAAAACCAAAAGGGGTGAAAACAGATATTGATACTGATGTTTATTTGTCCAATGATATTTATTTGTTTGCTAATGATATTTTTCTAAGGGGGGTGATGGAAAGAAAGAATGAAAGAGGTGGAAAGAAAGAGAGCAAGAGAAACAAAGAAAGGAAATAGATGGGGAGGGGGATGGAAGGAAGAGAGAGAGAGAGGAAAGGAGAAAGACAGAAGAAGAGAAAGAAAAGTGGGGGTGTCTTTGAGAACTCATTCAATGTTTCTCTGTTCAAGCCTACCCAGGGAGGGGAACACTGGCTGGGGAAGGGAAAACCAATTGGGGAGGCATGCCTCCCCTTTGCTTCCCCAGCTGCCCTGCTGGGAGCCACACAATATGTGTGAAAGAGCCACATGCGGCTCTGGAGCCGCAGTTAGGCCACTATTAGCCAAATTGCTCTGATTTCTTCTCATTTATTGGAGAATATGAGTTATTTATAAGTAGCAATTGGCATAAGGGAGCAATCACCTTTATATACAGAGGTCCCACTTCTCCAGAGTACCAGTAACAGACACGCAGGCTGCAGTTAAAATGAATGTCTTTTACTGTAGTTTTCAGCACATTCAAACAATTCCCGAACACACACACAATTATACAGAGCTAGGAAAGTTAGAGAGATTGAGATAGCACATTCGCATTAGCAAGAGATTCGTTGGTTTGGCGATACTTTACCTGATCCTGAAGAGATGAAGTCTTCCAAATGGAAAATTAGGGGGAAACTAGAAAAATGGGGATTATGCTAGAAAAAGGGGAGCGTGCAGACTGAACCAGCAGAGAGAGACTGGCTGCGCAGTCCAAGAGTCTTGAGGTAAGCTGAATAGCAAGGTAGCCACAAGTTCAAGAGGCAGAGAGTATAGAGGTCATTGAGGGGGGCAGAGAGAGTGTGCGTTTCCGCGTGTCACCTTTTATAAGGTGACCTTAGGAGGAGGGCTTAGCATGTCCCTTCCCTTGAGGTGACATAGGGGGGAGGTCTTTGCTGGACACCTCCCTTGAGACAGTCCCTCTGTGGTCTGTTCCAAGAAGTCATGTATACAGTGGAGGAAGGGGGACTAGGTTGGGCAATATTGAACGTTAATTAATCTGGTAACAGAGACACTTGGATGGGACATTGAGTCATCGTTTAGCATTGATTGTCCTCTTTGCCTGGAGGCTGCAGGAACCGGTTTCTTCCAGGTGGACAGGCGAGCCAATCCTTTTGTTAAGGGATTGTGGAAGATGTTGCTTTGTGTTTGCTTTGCAGCAACAAAGATGTTGGGAGGGGGGAGGAAACATGTCAGCTTTCTAAAACAGAGTCATTTAATGGCGTTGTGACTCCATTGTTTAACCAGCCATGGCAAGCTGGCTACTTGTGTAGTGCTTGTGGTGTGTATAGGAAAGTCTTTGGAACAGGGCAACCTCTTGGAACCATGGGCCCATCATCTCAGGCATCTGCTGGTTCGTGTGTCTGGCATCTCACTCTGGTTCCCTGGCATCATAGTTCTTTTACACCTCGGTGCACAGTTCTTAGTTCAGAAGAGAGCAAAAAAGCTCATTGCTGGCTAACACCACTCCTAGTATAAATGCTCATAGATTTCAAAGGGAAGAAAGCAAAAATGTGGTCTGAGGGTGAAAGGAGATTGAGGACCAGATCTGTCCTCTGTAAACATTGGGGAATCCATACAGGGGAGAAACCTCAGGCTTGAATGTGTGGCAATGGTGTGAGGAAGAGATCAGACCTTCATGTTCCTTAGATAATCCACACAAGGGTGAAACTTTCCTATGATTTATTCTGAGGAGGCCCTTCTGTGATTCCCTAGGTGTCGAGGGCTTAGGCTGCTGTGAGGTTTTCAAGGTTTCACCAGTGAGATTAATTCAGATTCAAAGGAAAACTCAGTAAATTCAGAGTGTCCCCAAACAATATCCAGCATCCTAGAACTGGGTTGGTATCCTTGGAGTTTGGAAATGAATGTTTTGAAATAAGAATCCCCCTTGATTCTCACAGTGCCAGGAGGGAGAAATAAACTTCTCTGTGTTTTGTTTGGGTTTTTTTTACCGGCTGGTGACTAGGAAATGTTGTCTGGGAGGGCGGGATAGAAATTTGAAGAATAAATAAATAAAATTATAATCCATTGTAAGGGTCTAATGTCTTTTTAAACACTGTCTGTAAGATTTTAGGGGGGAAATCCTCTTGCTTGAGCCAAGCACCTTCCACGTTTTCTAATCCCCATGTGTTCAAGAGCCCAGAGTGTTAAGAACATAAGAGACGCCAATGTTGGATCAGGCCAAAGGCCCATCCCGTCCAACACTCTGTGTCACACAGTGGCCAGAAATACCAGGTGCCATCAGGAGGTCCAGCAGTGGGGCCAGGACATTAGAAGCCCTCCCACTGTTGACCCCCCCCCCAAGCAACAAGAAGACAGACCATCCCTTGCCCCAGACCCCCTATCTATGCCTTGTGGCTAATATCCACCGATGGACCTCTGCTCCATATGCCTATCTAATTCCCTTTTGAAGCCGTCCATGCTTGTAGCCACCACCGCTTCCTGTGGCAGTGAATTCCAAGTGTTAATCACTCTTTGGGTGAAGAAGTACTTCCTTTTATCCGTTCTAACCCGACCGCTCAGCAATTTCATGAAGTGCCCACGAGTTCTTGTATTGTGAGAGTGGGAGAAAAGTATCTCTTTCTCTATCTGTTCTTTCCCATGCATAATCTTATAAACCTCGATCATGTTGATCGTGTTGGCATACAGCTGGGAGGATCTTGGCCAGTCAAAACAAACTTTACAGGATTGCCATGAAGAATAAATAGTGTGCCTCTGGGGTGAGACCCTCCTTGCAAGGCATGTTTATTGGATTGTTAAGTATGGTAATCTCTGGACTTTGCTGCTATATGGGAGGTCTTGGATTGGTTGTTTCTCTGATATTAACTTTTTTGGTTGGTCTGGGGATACCAAAGTTAAGGTTTTGGTTGCTTTGAGAAGAAAGTGTACAAAGCTCACATTTCGAGTTGGCATCCCCGCGTGTCCTCAGCAGCGGCCTTTAGCTTCATTCAGCCTACCTGGAAGTGGAAACAGGCAGGCAAAGTGAGGCGAGGAGAAAAGTATGATGGGGCAGGAAAGAACAAAGGAAAGGAAGAAGAAGAAGAGGAGGAGGAGGATATTGGATTTAAGGCTCAGTGAGGGAGATAACCTGACAGTCACCATCTTCCCATGGTCTGAGTGGGCCCTGAAGCCTCCACAGGTCAGGGCTGTTGAGCAGAACTGTGGACGAGAGAATAAAAGTTTCCTCAGGACTGGCTGTCAAGGCTGACCCTGCCTTGGTGCAGTAACACATTTATTCATTTATTTCGTATCCCGCCCTACCCCACAGGCAGGCTCCAGCGGCTCACGACACTTAAATATGATAATTTAAAACATTAAAACGATATAATAAAAGATTAAAACTGAAATCCATACATAAATCATGAGATGGCGATAATACAGTAAAAGTGTTCTCAGAAAGTTTTGACCCTGGTATATATACTGATTTTTAGCAAGTGGCAAAAATTCCCACCTCTCAATACATAAAAGTACCTGTGAGTAGCACAGGTGAATAGAATAGGTAGGGATGTGATCTAATACCTCAACCAAATGTCTGGTGGAACAGTTCTGCTTCACATGCCCTGTGGAAAGACTAAATCTTGTAGGGCCCTGATCTCAATTGGGAGACTGTTCCACCAGGCCGGAGCCAGACTCCAAAAGGCTCTGGCTCTGGTTGAGGATAAGCAGACATCCCTTGGACCGGGGATCACCAGTAGATGTTGATCTGAAGAACGCAGAGCTCTTCAGGCGACGTAGCGGGAGAGACATTTCTGCAGATATGATGGCCCCAGACCGCACAGGGCTTTAAGGTTAATACCAGAACCTTGAACTTGACCTGGTACTCAACTGGAAGCCAATGCAGCTGACAGAGCACAGGCTGTGAATGTGCTCATCCTGAGATCCCAGTAAGGACATGTGCAGCTGTATTTTGAACCAGCTGGAGTCTCTGGGATAGCCCTGCGTAGAGCAAGTTACAGTAGTCCAGCCCAGGGGTGACTATTCCATGGATCACTGTGGGTAAGTCACGGGGGGAGAGATAGGGGGCCGATTGCCTGACCTGCCGAAAATGGTGAAAGGCTGATCCGGCAATGGTCGTGACCTGGGCCTCCATTGAAAGTGAGGCATCCATGGTCACACCCAGACTCCTCACCATCGACACTTGGGCTAACAGCACCCAGTCAAGGGTGGGGAGTCGGATACCCAGTTCCATCCCCCCGCGGCTCAGGCACAGGACCTCTGTCTTAGATGGATTTAATTTCAGTTGACTTGATTCAGCCAATCAGCCACGGCCTCCAGTGCCCTAGCCAGAACCTCTGAGGTGGTATCTGAGTGGCCGTCCATCAACAGATATAGCTGGGTGTCATCAGCGTACTGGTGACAACCCAGCCCAGACCTCCAGACCAGCTGGGTGAGAGGGCACATGTAGATGTTAAATAACATAGGAGAGAGAATCACTCCCTGGGGGATGCCACATGCCAGTTGGTAAGATGGTGAAACCCTCTCCCCAAGTGCCACTCTTTGTCCCTGACCTTGGAGAAAAGAGATAAGCCATTACAAGGGAGTATCTTGTATTCCCACGTCAGCAAGGCAGTGGGTCAAAAGGTCGTAATCAACAATGTCAAGCGCTGCTAAGTCAAGTAATAACAGCAGTGCTGACT